AGGTTTCTCTGTGTAACAGCTCTGGCTGTCCTGGAACTTGCTCTGTTGACCATGCTGGCCTGGAACTCACAGAGATAAGCCTGCCTCTGGAGCACTGGGATTAAAGGTGTGTGCCACCACCACCCAGCCAGACTCCAATTTTTTTTTTGTTTTTTTTTTTGTTTGTTTGTTTTTTGTTTTTTGAGGCAGGGTTTCTCTGTGTAGCTTTGGAGCCTATCCTGGCACTCACTCTGTAGACCAGGCTGGCCTCGAACTCACAGGGATCAATCTGCCTCTGCCTCCCAAGTGCTGGGATTAAAGGCGTGTGCCACCAATTCTTGAAGGATAGAATCTTATTTTCATGTCCCTAGTGCCCTATTGTATTAGGTATTAGTGTGAGTTCACTTATGTCATTAGTGTGTACTCACTGGAGAATTTATAGTCAGGACTTTGAGAGTTGCGATGACTTAGACCACGTCCTTACTGCTATTTTTTACCTTCTATTTAGATGTCTTTTGGCTATGTATTTGAAAGTGGGATATGTCTTTCATCTTATACACATGCATGCTTTGTTTTGGGCATTATAAAACATTTGAAGGCATATCATGAATGTAGTGTTTTAGATTCTTAGAATATGAATATAGAGAAAGTTGTGAAAGAAATCTTTACCATCATTTAGAATCACACTCATCATACTTTCATGTTATGAAGGATTAGGTAGAAACAACAAACATTTATTGGGGGCCTATCAAGTACTCAGCCCAACTCTGAGTGCTTTTATAGGCTCATATTCTTGTAATAGCTCAGTAAAGTCAGTAGTTATTATTCACAAAGACAGCCGAAGCCTAGAATTGTTAAGAGATTGTATTCCAACTCTAAGAAGTTGATGGTTGCTTTACCCTGGGGGTAGGGTGGGTTAGTGTGGATGAGTGAACTGTTTGATTATTCACTCATATTTCCCAGTTTATTTTGGTCTGATCCTCTGAATAATGCATTCTAAGAACTATCACCAGGTTTACTTGTTTTTCTAAACAATACATAAACTCTGTAAAGACCACTGTGCCCTTAATTATTTCTTTTTAGAGAAAATATGTGGCTTTTTGAGACAGGTTCTCATGTATCCTAGGCTGACTCTGAGCCTCCTCATCCTTCCGCCTCCACCTCCTCTGAGTGTTGGGATTGTTATGCCTGGCTTCTTAAATTGTCTTCATATTTTTTTCTAATTTAACATTCCTATTTTGTATTATGCTGTATTTTTATATTTATTTATTTATTTATTTATTTATTTATTGTGTGTGTGTGTGTGTGTGTGTGTGTGTGTGTGTGTAATACACATGCCATGGCAAACGTATAGGATGACTTTTCAGTTTTTCTCCTTCTACCATGGGTTCTAGGGACCAAACTTAGGAAATAAGTTGTCAATGCAAGAGCTTCCACCCACTGATGCCAATTTATGATATTTTTTTCCTGGAAACTTTAAAACTCCATATTGTCATGTGGAAGGGACTACCTTGCAGCATTATGAAATGTCTGTCTTTTTCCTTTGTAGGAAATGATGAGCAAGTTATCCTCCATGATGTTGAAAGGTAAATAGATTATTGGTGTGTGGCACTGACTGACCATTTTTTAGATGAACAGAGGCAAATAGTCCTTAGACATGGATTTTAGTTTTTTCAGAAAATAATATGGAACTAATATTAGTTTTCTGAAAAAAAGAAAATGATTCCTATACTAGCTGAGAAAAATTTTTATTTAAAAAAAGATTTGCAAAGTTGGCATGCAATTATAGAGATAAGAGGGAAGGGTTTTCCTCTTTAATATTTATTATTTATAAATAATAAAAATTAATAGTTAACAATAACTAACATTTGAGTTTCTGCTATCATGTGCCAGACACTATTCTAAGGGTACTTTATGCATTTAACTGTCACATTCATTTGGTGAGGGACGCTATTGTGATAGCCATGACATGTGTTGTTAGGTAACATAGGATCAGGTGATGCTGGGACTTGTGTATGGGGTTCTGTCCAGCTCAGAGCTGTTTTGTTAATCTCTATGCTAGTCTGCTGAGAGGCCCTCTCTACTTCTGCTCTTACCAGGTCTGGCTGCTGTTAAACTTCCCCTTTGTTTTTGGAACTCTTGTACTACTCTTGACTCTCCATACAAGCAGAATGAATTTTGGAAGTATTAAATATGCTTAGCATAAAGCTTAGCATAAATATTATGAAATTTATAAAGGCAGTACCTCTAAATTATACACATATATTATATACTTTTTTATTTGAACATTGAACATCACCTTTTAGCTAATTCAGTATCTTGTTGGTTTACCTGGGTTAACTTTGTCCTGAGAATGAAAGAAACTGAATCCTAGCTAGTTACTATAGGGCTGGGACTCTGCGTCATGTCTGTGTATATGTTTGTGCCAATGTGCTTCTCTCTTCTGTTTCTCAGCAGTGAGACCCTGGATGTGTTTGCTCATGAAGATGCAGTATATGGTTTGTCGGTGAGCCCGGTGAATGACAACATTTTTGCCAGCTCTTCAGATGATGGCCGGGTTCTCATTTGGGACATCCGGGAGTCTCCCCATGGAGGTAGGTCACTGTGTACGAAGTTGCTGGGTTGTGCTGAACAGTCAGATAGCAACTTCATTATGTATTTGCTTTATAATCTGCGTGTGAGTAACATTCAGGAAGAAGAAATCTAAGACTCCGACATGTAGCACAGATACGTTGACGCTGTGGGCTGTCGGAAGTGGAACACATTTACCAGACATTCTACAGCTGCCTGTGACTGTACAAACCCTGCCCCTTGGCACTGAGTGGCCCTAGGAGCAGAAGACGTGATGCTTCGTTATGGAGGGTAGCTACCTAAAGCTCCTTATGTGGTCTGGTCCACACATTGTAGGTTGTTTACAGAGAAGAGGGACACAGTGTACTTCTTGTTTAAGAACTGCACAGACACTCACCTTACCTCCATGTGGGTAAGTGCTGGCAAGTACATTCTGTCCCTGGGGAGTAGTCAGTGAACTCCTCCTCCCCAAGTGCTTGACAGTCTCTGACTGAAGGACTTGTTTTATTGATGCTGAGGTTCTTCAGGAAATGGATCTTCTTAGCTTATTTCCTGCCGAGGGATTTCCCCCTTACAGTTTCTTCTAATTGTACCGTCATGCCTACCTCTGTTTAGTTTGATTCTGTAATGATCAAACTGGTAACCTGTGGACTCGCAGTTATTGTCTTGCCGCCTTTGGCTGGCAGGACCTAGGTCTGTATTTGCTCATATATCAGACCTTTACAGGTTCAGGATAGCAAAGATGCCTGCCCTTGGGGTCAGCAGAGCTGGTCACAACAGACAGTATCTGCTGCATTTCTGGGTGCTTGTATGTACACTATTCCCTTTTCTGCATTGCTCCATAGCTGAGGTGGCTGAGTGCATCCCCTCCCCAGGGCCCTAAAGAGGACTGTATTTGGAAGTCATATATGAAGAGGTGGTTTTTGTCTTTGATTGATTGGAGCAGATCCCAGAGTATGTTATTCCAGTAGCAAAGGAATTCTTTCCTCACCAGGAGCTGATAATTTATGCAAAGGGTGCATGAGTTCCAGGTCAAGTTGATTAGGAACTGGCTGGACTCAAGGGAACTGGCAGCTCAAGTGTTAAACTTTAAAACAAAAACATAATCTGGGTCTTGCTATGTAACTCAGGCTGGCTTTGAACTTATAATCCTTCTCCCTCAGTTACAGAAAAGGGGCACCAGGCTTTTTTTTTTTCCCCTTCCCCAAGGAAGGGAAAACTGTGTAACAGTTCTGCCTGTCCTAGAACTCGCTTTGTAGACCAGGAACTCACAGAGATCCACCTGCCTCTGCCTCCCAAGCACTGGGTTTAAAGCTGTGCGCCACCACCACCTGACTTAACCAGAAGGGAAATTGCTATGTTGTTTTGTCTTCATTTGTTTATAAAACTTTCAATTTTAGAAATAATAAAGGTATAATAACTTTGCCAGGAGTTGTGAAAATTTCTTAGTGGAATTCATTTTTCATCTTTAAACAGCTCATTTTTCCCTTTGAGACACTAGGATCTGAGTATTATTGTTTAAAGTTTGGCTATATGCATTTGATTGATATTGGAGGGCCCAGGGAGGCATAAAGGTAGGGTGCTCGTGGGGCGTGCGCTATATGGAAGTGGTACCACCTTTGGGTTGGTGGTTAAGAGTATGTTCCTGCTTGCATCCACACTCCTGCTCAGCTGCCTGCCCCTGATAAAGCGGTGTCTCATTTCTGTTTTCACAGAGCCCTTCTGCCTGGCAAATTATCCATCAGCCTTCCACAGTGTCATGTTTAACCCCGTGGAGCCCAGGTTATTGGCCACAGCCAATTCAAAGGAAGGAGTGGGACTATGGGACATTAGAAAACCTCAGAGGTAAGCCCCAGATGTGTAAGGACTTTAGACTTTGCCTTCTTCATTTCTCAGGGAGTAGAGTCAGCCAGCAAGTATTGCAAGAACTTGTGTAGCAGCTCAGCTCAATTGAGCATCTCCTTTTTTCGTTTTTGTTTTGTTTGTTTTTTCAAGACAGACTTTCTCTGTGTAGCCCTGGCTGTCCTGGAACTAACTCTCTTTGTAGACCAGGCTGGCCTAGAGCTCACAGAGATCCTCCTGTCTCTGCCTCCTGAGTATGGGATTAAAGGTGTGTACCACCACTGTCCAATTGGGCATCTCTTAACATGTCTTGCTTGTTTAAAGCCAGCAGTTACCTATCCCTTCTCCTTCCTGTGGAGTCAGATATTGTAGTCTGGACTCTAGGCAGGAGTTTCTGGACAATTGTATGAAGAGATGAAGGTCTCCCTTGAGTGCCTCACTACTTGCACAGGAGCTCTTCTGTGTGGGGATGGAGTGGGGTTTCCATGTTCATTGCCACTGAGCTAGGGTTTCTTAACTTCAGGCCACAGGGTGTCCCTCGGTAGGCTTAAAGTAGAACTCCCAAAATTATATGGAAATTGTGTTATCTATTCATATAATATAGTTTTTGAGAAGGAAATTGGTTCACCTTTTTCATTCCCTCAAAAGGACTAGAGACTATAACAACAAAAAGTTCCCGACTAGTTCCGTGGGGTCTTAGAAAGCTAACTTGTTTCTTCTACTGTTATTATTATTAAATAAGTACACCGGCACAGTCCTAATTTGATTGTCTGAAGCACTAATTGGGAAACGTCAGGTATTATTAAGAGTGGTAGGGATGGGGCATAGAGGAGAGACTCTTCCGTGTTCCGTAAGTCCTGTGATGGAGGCAGGGCCTTTGTGGCACTTGTACATAGAGCTTGCTTTATAGTTAACGTCTCTAGAAATCCTGTGTGTAGATAATCTCTCACTCTGTGAAGCAATGTTGCAGAATGCCTTGGAAAGTAAACAAGGTTCTCTTTAATTAATGGACCCTCAATGAAACAGGCAGTTAAGTATAGGAGGCTTATCTTCCTTGATTTTCAGCCCTGGTTGATTCCCTTCACAGGGCAGTTCAGGGATTTGGAACTACTGCAGCAGAACAGTGTCCTTCGTGTTGAGTGGGTTCCCGAGGCTTCACATGGCTGAGGAGATTGCTTTTTCACTCTCACCCCTCCTGCTGTTCTAGTGCACAGAGTGGTAGGCCCCCTCGTGTACCTCTGCACTATGTGCCTAAGGCGAGAGCACTGTCTGCACAGAAGACAGGCCCTTAGGTTCGGCGCAGAGTTCTCTGTCATTATGTGCCATTTCAGAACAATGGTTCAAGCTCATCCATGCTACAAAAGGCAGAACGTGGACTGCCTATGCTAGCCTTCTCCTAGCCTGCTTTCTGCTCTACTTGTAATTGTAATGAATAGCTGGCAATTGGGGTGGAATACTAAATTCATCCCCAGTAAAGCTTGAGTAATTTATGATGTCACAGCAGTGTCTTGAGAGGAGTGTTAGCTATTTATTGTCTTAATTCTGATCCTCTCCCAAGTTCCCTAGTCAATTTCCTGCCGTGCACTGGATGGGCCCCTTTCCCTTTCCCCTTGGTTCCTCACTAAATGTATGGTTTCTTTTAAATTTTCTAAGACATACAACATTTCATGTTTGCTAAGTAGTAGGGACAAGGTGAAAGGATGTATTTGGGGGCAGTTCCAGGTCTGTATGGAAGGGCAGTGTGCAAAGGAACAGGTGGTGCTGGGAGAACAGGGCCTGTGGGAGGGGCCCAGACCCCTAACTGGTGATTTTTTTTTTTTAAACTTAATTTAACCTTTTTCTATTCATCTGCATTTTGCCTTGGGGCTCTTCCCCTGTCTTTCATTCTGTACGTCCTTTCCTGTTTCCTGTGTCTGGCTGGTTGGCCACCAGCATCTCCCTGGCAGGTGATAATTGTTTTATTTGTACAGTAACATCTATTGGATGTAGAGCTTTTATGTAGAAAAGTATAGAGATAAAAGGAAAAATCCATTTGAGTGTACATCAGTTCATTTCTTCTTAGTCTGTAGTCATTCTCTATAAAGGTATATATAGTGAATAGTTTCTTAATGTGTCTGTCTTTTTAAAACATAATTTAATGTATAATAAGTATACATCCTATGAATGAAGGAAATATGCAATAATACCCATGCTATCAACACACATTCATGTTCCACAGTACATGTGTGGCGGTCAAAGGACAACTTGTGGGAGAAAGTACACTCTTCCTCTACTGTATGCATCTTAGGGATCAAACTCAGGTCATCGGGCTTTTCTGTCAGTAAGTGCCTTAAATCCTAGCCATGTTGCTGGCCCTCAACTTTTGTCCTATCTATCTATCTATCTATCTATCTATCTATCTATCTATCTATCTATCTATCACTTCAGATGTCACTACACAGACCAAGCTGGCCTGGAACTCACAGAGATCCACCTGCCTCTGCCTCCCAGGGACTAGGGGATAAAGGTATGCTCCACCATATCCAGCTTAATTTTTTTTTTCAGTTAAGTATGTATTAGAGATCATTTCATATCAGCCCTTAGAGATCTGGGACATTCTTCAAAAGCTACATATTCCATTAATAGTGTGAACCTAGAAGCTAAAACTTGTTTCTGATAAGCAATGCTGTGTTGAACCTGGTTGTATGGCTATTTTGACTTTTGCAAAATGCCTGTAAGGAATTGGTGCACCAAAGGGTGTGTTTTACTTTAAAAGTTATTTATTTGTGTATTGTTTTTATGTGTATGTGTGTGAAGGTGAAGGGGGTACTATAGTAAGCATGTGGGGGGGGGGTCAGAGGACAGTGTGCAGAATTTGGTTTTCTGCACCTTGTGGGTCCAGGGAATCAAACTCAGGTCATCAGGCCTTTATCCACGGAACCATCTGCAAGTAGGGTGTGGTCTTTCCCTCCCTCCTTTCTTTCTTTGGTTTTGTTTTTGAGACTGCATTTCATGGAGCCCGTCATTGACTGGAGCTCCTGATCCTCCTTACCTCTACCCCTGAAGCACTGGGACTGATGTGCACCATCATTTCTGTCCTTCCTCCCTCCCTCTCTATCCCCCTTCCTCCCTCCCCCGTCCCTTTCCTTTCATCAGGAGCCTGCTTACTGTATAGCCCAGGCAGCCACTGAACTGAACAAAAGATGCTATTATTATTTTTACTAGACTCCCCTCCTATTGCTGTTATTGTGGGGAGTGTACTACCCATGTGTACATGTGTGGGGAGTGTACTACACCATGTCATGTGAATGGAAGGCCAAGGACAGCTGTCAAGGGTCCATTCTGTCTTTCTGCCTTGGGTATGGCCTTCAAACTTGCATTGTAGGAGTTTTTGCCCAATGACCATCTTGCCTCCTTGTGCTTTGAACTTTGATCTTCTTGTTGCTGCCTCTGAATGATTACAAATGTGTGCCCCCATGCCTAAAGAAGGTGTTTTTGATTTACAAAAAGAAAAAAAAAAGTCAAATTGTACCCTCACCACCAAAGACTACAGTGATTTACAAATCTGCCAATTGTATTAGTGGCCATGTATTTCTCCTGGCCTGTACCAACAAACTGGTGCTAGCCTTCTGGTGGAAAATGATATTTATTGTTTTGGTTTCTTTAGTTATGACTGGAATTTTGTGTTTTCTCTGGTAACCTATAGTTCTTTAAGCACATATTAAAGAAAAGCACCTAATAAGGCCAATGACAGTCTAGCCTGATTCTGTTTTTGGCTCTGTGGAGCACAGTCCCATGGGAACAAGATCTTTGCCTTGTTATTTCAACCCTTCTAATGTTCTACAAGGCTTTGTTGGTGCCAGGTAGAATGGGGCATGGAATACTCTTAGAGGCCTTCTTAATTTCACATTCTCTGGAATTAAAGGATTCAATTACAGCTCTTCTCTGTTTGAATTCCCTCAGTATAAGTTGGTATAAAGGAGAGGGAGAGAGGACTCTCAGTCTTTTCCATGTAGGATTAATTATGCTGAGTTGCAGTAGATAATTTGTTTCCTGAGTACAGCTCCCTAGAAACCCCAGCCCAGATCTTAGGATAGTTTGGAGGCCCTTGGGAGCACAAGCCTTGAACAGGATAGATCATTTCAGAGATACTTACAGAAAGAAATTTTAGGAGCCTTGGAAACCCCTTACAGTTTCAAATAAAATTTTATGTACTAATCTGAAAGCATAGGAAGTGGTTTTTGTTTTATTTCTCTAGGACAAAAGATTTTAATTGGTATTGTGGCACACACCTTTAATCCCAGCACTTGGGAGGCAGGGACAGGTGGATCTCTGTGAGTTGGAGGCCAGCCTGGTCTACAAAAGGCACTCCAGGGGCTGCAGAGATAACTCAGAGGTTAAGAGCACTGACTGCTCTTCCAGAGGTCCTGAGTTCAATCCCCAGCAACCACATGGTGGTTCACAACCATCTGTTATGAGATGTGGTGCCCTCTTCTGGTGTGCAGATATACATGGAAACAGAATGTTGTATACATAATAAATAAATAAATAAATAAAAAGGCACTCCAGGCCAGCTAGGGTTACCCTGGTTTTGTTGTTGTTTTAAAGAAAGAAAAAAAAAAAAAGAAAGCTTTTATCAGGTTTCATGCAAACCTCAGCCCAGAAAGACTATTGTTTGCCCTGCAGGATCTAGGGTTAGTCTGCTGTGAATCTGTACAAAGTTTATACGATTTCCAGTAGCATGTTAGTAAATTCAGGGTCTACTCTGAAGGGCTGTTGGGCTCCTCTTTTTTTTTTTTTTTTTTTTTTTTTTTTTTTTTTTTTTCTCTCAGGCCTGGCACTAGCTCTTGTAGACCAGGCTGGTCTCGAACTCACAGAGATCCACCTGCCTCTGCTTCCTGAGTGGCTATTGGGCTCCTTAAGAGCCATAAGGATGCCCTTCTGAGTATCTGTCCTCCTTAGTCCAGTTTATGGATACTAAGTTGTTGAGCATTTTCTTTTGCCTTCTCCTAAACCAGACTGCT